CAGTTTGTAACGAGGTATTTTTTATGGTACCGGTAAAAATGTGATTTTTGTATATAAAATAAAACTTAAATTTAACACGAATCTTTATTTTCATTCCTTTATAAATTTTCAGATATTGTGTAAAACAAAAATTAATGCGTTTATATAGGCAAAGACGGTTCTGCAGAAAATTGTGATTTTTGAGATTAAAATATTGAAAACAAATAACTAGCAGAAGACCAATGTTTTGGTCCGAATAGATCATGCACTGATGCTATATCTATTACGAGGCAAGTTCAAGAGATCCAACATAGGTCAGAGGCTAAAAAACAGTGGATGGCAAAAAAATACTACTACTGACGGAAGAAAGAAGGAAATATAAAGGAAAAGATCTACAGAAGTATAAAGAAATACAACGAATAATTAAGAAAAACCGCTAAGGAAATCTATTGCAATGTAAAGAGATAGAAGAACTAGAAACAAAATATGTACAAAAAAAAAATAAGTGACTGGATTAAGTGGAAATAGACAGGACACAAAAAAGAAGTACTAGTACTAGATTTACCAGAGAAATGAGACTGGGAGGAGTACGTTAGAGAACTTTTCCGAGGTGAAATGCAGAAAATACAAAAATTAAATCCTTTAGAGAGAGATCACGATAGGTGAAATCAAATATGCTATCAAAAACTAATAAATGCAGAAGTGTTCATTCCATAAAGGCCGTATGACACTATGTATTTTCTTGTATAATTTCTGATATAACAAAAAAATGGATAGTGTCATACAAGCGTATAGTTTACAAGAATTTGTGTCCGCTGCATTTTCTTGTACAAGAAATGCGCCAATTTGTGCGCAAAGCCGCTAAAACGTAAAACTTCTTTCATGTCATATTGGCGGATGGAGGCATAGAGAAATAAAAATAATTATTATTTTTATTTCTCTATGGCTGGAGGAGAACTTTGATATATACCAGAGATATGTAAGTATCTCTGATGTATACATACAATTAGGCCAAGCAGACATCAGAGAAAAGTGCCCACCAGCAATAACCAAGATTAGAACATCAGTAGCCATATTGAAAAACAATAAATCACAGTGATTGTATCAAATAGCATCGGAACTACTGAAAGTAGGAGATGTTTTACTAAAAACAGTACATAACCGCACTAAAAATTCGTGATCAGTTTAAAGATTATTTTATATCTCCAAATAAGAGAGTAGAGTTTCAAGAGTATACCATTCAAACACATAATTAAAAAAAACACAAATAAATTATTACAACCAAATTATTTATTATTTCTGTCTTCCATTACAACCTGTTAAATATCTTCAAAAATTGTGGTTTCCAATTTAGTTTTCATATTGGGACATTTTATTTCTTTCATTTTTGCACCACAGTATTTTTAAAAATAATCAGTAGCATGTGTTCTCAGTCCCCAGTAGCTTGGGGTCCTCAGGCCCTTGTTCGGTGCCTCAGGTACTGCAGTTCTATTTTTATAGGTGTCAAAATTTCGACCAATCATGTGCCAAATCACATACAGTTTCTGGTAAAAGAACTTGCTTGCATAGTGTCATACAGGGCAAAAATGTACGTACAAGAAACGATACAAGAAAACATAAATAACTTTCTATATCAGAAACGAAATAAGAAATGATACAAGAAAATGCATAGTGTCATACGGCCTTAATGCAGTAATATAACAAATAAACCCAAGGGGCAACGCCAGTCAAGACATACCCAACTCATCACCAATATCGTCCATTTTGGACGTACTGGAGGGAATTTCAAGGTATTTGTGATATCTTGAAGGAATTATCTTTTTGAACATAATGCAGCTAAATCCTGTTTTTGCAGCACTTATGGGCGTCTTGAGATATAAACATTCTTTACCATATTAGAATACGCCTGACTTGTTTGACACATACATGAGTTTCAGTGGTGTCATAAACAGAATCCATTACGTGTCCCACTTTCGTATAATGTAAAATTATACATTGTGTATTTCCTTGAATAATACAGAAGCATATTGTCACCATGAGTATTCAGAACTTTTTGAAGGTCAAAGGAAACATACAAATTTGAATCTGTTTTAGATCTTATGTGATAGAGACAATTTTTTTTCATGTATATGAGAAGCAAAACTTTCTGATTCCATATCACTATCATTGCTTTCTTCACATATTACACACTTGTCTTTTTTGGGAATATGGATCTCGATATTGTAGTCACTATCACAAATTCTTCGAAACACTATCTGTGTGTTATCCCTTCTTGCTGACAAAAACCTTTTATAGATTCTATAAATATTTGATTTATTTTTGTACTCCAATGGAAGATATAGCCTGTTGGAATCATTTCTGCAATAATGTGATGGAACAGTTGGTAATGATTCAATGAAAATTTTAACCCTTAACTCATTATCTATTTTATTGGGATGAGCCTTTTTCTTCTCATATCTGGTTTTCGAGTATGTATATCATATTTATTTTCAAATGTATACGACAAAATTCTGTGAGACACGTCCAAAGTTTTTAAAAGAAACTGAAGACAAACTTTTACCTTTTCATTGTCAAGTGGTAGATAATATTTAAAAGTAAGCAAACAAGATAGTATACTCCATTCCACGAATATACGACTGTTTTAAATTCGCTTTAAGGTGTCGACTTAAATGGTCCAATGTGCTGAATTGTACAATAGTAAATTCTCCCCATTTTTTAAAATACTGTTACGACAGATATAAACCTTTTATGAAGTCATGATATAAATATAAAGTTAATAGTTTATAGAACAGTTTTTGAATCTAAACAATTCAGATTTTGAAGTATATAATTACTATCATATAGTTTAGTATTGTAAACAAGTTGGTTTTTGAATTATTGATTTTAACGAAATGCAACAATACTTAAGTGATCAAATGGTGTAATTTATTTAGTATTATCGAATATTCAATTAGTATTAAAAAAACAAAAAACTTTCCTATTCACTTATTCTCTTAATCTTCTAAAACTATCATCAACGATCAGATTCACAGCAATAATCAGTCTACGATATATGAAAGTGTATATAAATTTTCGTTAGGTACTTTTTAATATCTGTAACGACTCCTAGCCGGTATATTATACCCGTTACTTTCGGAACTTTTAAGAGTACATAAACTCAAAGCAAACAAATATTTAAAACTAACAAAGTGAAATACTAGATCCTTTTTCTGGTTTCTGAGCCATTGTTCTGCCAATTTCATTTCATTTATATTAAAAATAGTATATTTCTTTTTATTACAGTTATAATACCTAATAAAGTGTAGTGTAATATCAAAGAAACCCGGCACGCCTCTTTGGTGTTTACATTTCACGGAAAGCTTACCCAAACGTCTGACGAACACATTTGGCTTTATAGGCGTCATTGTATTTATTTGTAGATTTTAACTGAAATAATTTTAGTTTAGATGTCATAATAGTAGACCCTTTTTATTGGAATAATGATTGGACCAATTTACCTTCATACTTCTACTTGCACAGTAAAATATTTGTTGTTGCCGTAAACCAAAACAGTCGTATATTCGTGGAATAACCTATATACAATGTCTCTTACCTTCATTACTAAGAGACCAGTAATTCGTAAAAGTGTTGCTCTTCTTTCTTCACCAAAGTTTAACTTACAACGGTTTGGGCAATTTTCTGTGCACGGGTTAGGGCCTAGTTTCTTTTGGCTTTTTGGTCTTACTGTTACTGATATAAGCTTCTCCTTCTTTTTGCTTGCTTTTCGCAACTGTTTTATTTTATTTAATAATTTTTTTTCTATATAATTATAAGGTTCTCTTCATTTTCAGTCTCTATTTCTACATCATTTTGTACATTTTCTATCTGGATCTCCATATCCGCTTCTGCATCACCTACACCATTTTGTACATTTTGTATCTTGATAACCGCTTCTAGGTTCAACAAGAGTTGGTTATCACTAACGTTGGTATCGTCAATTAACTGATCTGATACTATTACTGTCAAACTCATTACCTTCAAACCTGTACTTTATTCATTACCTGTATTACCTTCAAAATCGATAAAATTTAATAATTCATAGGTAGAACTTCGTCGACAGCATTGTTGAAAATAAGGTCTTCATTCTCTTCATTAACAAAAACGACTTCAGCATTATTATTACCAAGCAAATTAGTTGATTCCACTGTATTACTTTCATGTGTGTTAACCTCGGCATTACTATTATTTTGTCCTACAAGAAAATCAGTAAACAATTCGAAAAAATATTCCATTTGGTACAGGTTATGATACAAAATAAAACTCTTACTGAGCTTCAATATTTTGAGAATTGGTAGCTAATCCAACAATTTTCTCTCCTCTTGATTTCCACATCATCATTAATAACCACTTTAAATGTTAAAATAATTAAGTTAAAAATACAATTAAAAACAGTTTTAGCAAATTATTATACACGCATAAGCGACAGAATGTAAACAACTAAAATTGTTGTAACCTGCACGGGACTATCATACATTTGAGACGAATGGCATACAGACTCAACTGATAAAATGCTGTATCGCACTTACAACCGTATACTTGTTACAATCTACAACTCATGTGGCTTACAATAAATAAAAACGTTAAATTACTAATTATTCAAGCCATATTTTGGATACAATATTTTTCCAGTTAAAAGAAGAATCAACAAGTTTATTTGATGTTTGTGGGTTACAACCTTTTACCTTTCAACCGTCGATATATAATTGCTGAAGTGAATGAATTTAACGCACGTCAGAGAATTTGAACACTGTTGTTGCGTTCGTTTAGTTTTAATGTAATTCATAGACAACTCACCACGCACCGCCACCTATCCCTAACAGGGCGAATCTGGAAGACATTTTGTCCACTTCTTTATCACTGAATTGATATAATCTTATTTACCCGGTCTACAACCTGCTTGCGTCAGCTATAATCTATAGGCTTACGTTGATTAAGGAATGAGATAAGTTGGTGTAAAACTCATCCCAATAAAACAAAACTGTAGTTATTAACATATTTTTATTTAAAATATCTGCAAGGTTAAAAATTGTCCGTGTTTTGGATAAAATGTTTTATAAAAATAAATATTTATCTAGTCTCACAATCTAGGTTTAAAGCCTAACATAAATCGTTCAAAAGAAAGTATTGATATCTGCAAATAAATTCTGGCAATTGGATATTCTTCCTTCCTTATAGAACGTGTAGACACATTTTAACGTATACAGAGGAGTATGCTGTATAAAATATGGGAAATATATAAAAAGGAAGTATTAAAAATTATTTTACAGTATCGATTAGTAATTAAATTGTACAAATAAAGGATATATGTATCAAATACTGTTGATATAATGCATACATATATGTTGAGAGAAATACAAAAATAACGGAGGTCAAGATATTAAAGGCCAAATAAATAAATAAAAACTTACAAAACAGAAGTAGAGAGAGGACAAACTTGGCTCATGCTAGCTTAGGTAGAGATAGCGTGGTCAATAAATACTTATAAAGAATAACTGTAGTTTCAATAATGTATTTATATAATTCATCAATTAATCATAATATGGCGCAGTCAGTAGGATTAGTGATCTCCACTGAATCACAGGTATTATCCGGTGCAATTAGCAGTAATTTTTAAAATCTGGTTTTGATAACAAACATACGGAGTTTTTAACATATAGTCTAAGGATGAAACAAATGTTGATACAGTTATTCTTGGTCTGGGAAATCTACCTAGACAGTGTAAACAAATAATCGCGATTTCTTCCGCCATAGTTTAAGCTAGCTACATAAATACAGATAGTTGTTTTCATACTTAATAAGTGGGAGATTATCCAAAAGAGATGAATTGTAGCTAATCGCTCGCTTAATAATATCTTTCTGGCCTATATCTGTAAATGTGAATCATTAACCTATACCTTTATTCTATACTCTTTTTACTTACTAATAACCGCGAGAAGCGAAGTGCATCTCTATGAGACCAACGGCCTTTTGTCTTATTAATAAGTATTCGTGATGGTGGACACAGATGCATATCATGCTCAATTGTCCATTGACCAGACAGCCCAATAACCACTGATAATATGGTGGAACTACTGTGCTCCTAAGAAAAAATTGCTACCTTAGCAATGCCACATAGAACTGGCGAACGTTGGGAGATTATGGCCTTGGCACGGTATGAGTTTAGACTCTGTCTCTACTCCAATTAAGTCTCAATTACCCCAAACAGGCGAACCTTTAACATAGTAAGGCAGCTTCCGAAGATTTTAGTCTTACTACGGAAGGATTTGGGGTGTAAGGGATCGAACAGAAGACCTGCAATCCAAATGTCAACTTCATCTGCCCGAGTGGTAACCTATAAGGTGCACTCTGCTAGAAAACTGATAAGACTTTCGTGACTGAGTATGGGTGTCATAACTATTACAGCGGACTAGGTGTATAGAAAAAAACCTCTAAAGACAACAATAATGGAGAGAAAATTCCGGCAACTCGGAAATCCCTGAGTATCCCAGAGTAGCGGTCAAGCCATAATCACAACATAATATGTTAGGAATCTCCGTATTCTTCCAACCAGACTACCAATATAGAAGACACAATTGCAAACAGCTTCTTACACGGCACGAACTTTGTTATCAAATCAGAAACTCCTCGAAATTAAAGAAGAACTGGAAAATATCAAATGGGACGTTGCAGATCTTATCGAGGTCAAAAGAAGAGGGGAAAACCAACATATCCTAGAATCAGCTCACACCTTTCTTTGAAGAGGATAGGTAGGAAACCATTTCAGAAGGCGAAGAAGAATATCTTTATGATAAAAAATGTCTTATGGTAGAAAGGCATTTGTCAAGTAAAAAAATAAGAGGACAAACAAATAGTTAAAAATCCTCGAAATATTTGAAACTTTTTACAAAGAATTGTACAAGAAGATATGACACACACAACACTCCTTGTCATTAAGTCATCAGTAGGTGGACACAGACTACTACAAGTATTAAAAGTTATATTTACTGAATGTATTGTGGAAGAGGTAACTCGGTGTCAGTAGAATAATGCAATTATTGTACTCACATATAAAAAAGAATATATTACAAACCTTGGAAACTTCCGACCCATAAGCTTGTTATCACATGTGTACAAACCTTTCCCAAGGATTATTACTATTATTATTATTTTAAGACTGAATTCCAAGCTAGCTCGATGCCAATCATGCAAGAAAGTAGGGTTTTGGTTACGATATGGTAAAGAGTTGCTATATTTAAAGCTCACTGTCAAAAATGAAGACATACGAGATAAGATAAATCAAAATAATGAATATCGTCCGTATACATTAAAATAGGAACTATCAAAACGCTCGTTTTGCTTTAAAAATAGTGTCTCTATAAAATAAAAAGATTTCAACAAATAATACTGGTCGTTCATATATTGCTCTCTATAGCCGGCCACTGGATTTTATCGACATCACTGGAATTGTTAACGAGGTGATTTTTAACGATATTTTGTAACACTGTCCTGGCTTCTTTTTCGTCACCAAGTTGCGATGTCAACGCCGTCACATTGTACTCTAGGATGCTAACTTTAGACTGCAGCTGCTGTATGGCTTCAGGTATGGCTTTATTCAATTCGGACTTCGTGGCATCGCTGACGTTCACTATAAAAGTAATGATACGTTTACGAAACTGGAATTATCGAAATAAGATTGTAAAAGATAGAAATATATCTTTCGAGAGTGACTTAACAACTACATCTTCATTTATAATCTGTTCAACTTTAGCTCTTAATGTTAATAAACAATGAAAATATGATTTTAAGAAAAAACGGCGCGTGGCACTTGAGGAGTGCCGACAGAAGTGAATACTTCTTATAGCGCGTTATTACTATATCGGGTGGTGAATCGCCAAACAAGCCATACGAAACCCAATGGGAAATTCTAAATTGTTGAATTCCTGCTTCCCTAATTATTTTACATCAAAAGTCATAAGAAACTATTTGTAGAGGACTGAAATTTTTATTAAAAACAAATGTTAAAATTATTCTATCAATTAGGCGTACCTACTCCAAAATTTTGCAAAAATATAATACATTTTTCAGACCACCCCTAAAAGTCAGGCCACACGCGGAACAAGAATGTGTTGCGTTTGGTCATATTGATGGTTCTGATACTATTATATTATTTATCTATGATTCTGATATTTGACAGTATTTGAATTATCAATATTTTTATTTTATGATTAAATTATCAACAGCAGATGTTTACAAATACTACTACTACTATAATAGTGAACAATAAAAAGTATTTTGTAAACAATAAATTATATTGTTTACAAAGCAATAAAGTTGATGAAATGTACTTAGTTCAATAATGTTGTATTCTGGCAATAGTGCGCGCACTGCCAGATCTTTATTTAATGTAAGATATGATAATTTCTAAACATAAAACTATAGAACTGTTCAAACAATAAGCCATTGTGTACTAAGCAGTATCCCACTCGATTGTAAAAATCTCGTCTAACATTAGGCAGAACGCGTGACGTTATTTTTGCACACTCTTTGCACTTTTGCACATTTTTAATGCTTCAATATATGTAGATTTTTGGTCAAAATAGATTTTTGGTTTTAGATGCCCCCAGATAAAATAATCGTTTGCAGCTAGATCTCCCGATCTCCTGGGCTACTTAATATTACAGTCAGGTCCACTCAAACAACTATTAAAGCTGTTTTTAAGGAATTCCTTAATCTCCCAGTTATTGTGCGCAGGGCATCCATCCATTTGAAACCAAACTTCTTCTTCATCTGGAGCTATTTCTTTCTGCAAGTCTGGGTAAAATCTCTTCTTGTATCTATCTTGTATCGACTAAATCCTATAATTTTGAACATTTGGTTCATTATTTAATGTAAATATACTTTAATCACTAATCAAAATGTTTTTAAAAATTATGTCTGTATTAGCCTTCTCTAAAATTTCATAACAAAATTTAGCTCATCGCTCAGCATTTACTTCTGTCAGTTCTTGATGACATTGAAATTTATATGAACGGAATTTATTGCTTTTCAAAATTTTTAAGGCCGTGAAATTATGAATATTAAACTGGTCTGCAATGGTCCGAGAACTTATTCTAGGATTTTTTACAACTGCTGTAAATACATTTATTTCATTTTGATTTTATAAATTTCTTGGTAGCTCAGCAATATTGTTTGTACAGGTACAATTAGAAATCAAGGTCCCAGTATTTTCAAAATTTTGTAAAATCCTTTAAATTGTGGAATGAATTGGAATTAGTCTTTTGGGATATCTTACGTTAAATAAAGAACTGACAATTCGCGCACTTTGCCCGAATAAAACATTTTTATTATTGCTACTTTCTCCTCAACTGAATTCATTTTTTAATCAACTATATTGTTTTTTAAATTATAAATCACAAAATAAAAATTTTGGCAATTCAAATATTGTCAAATATCAGAAATATCAATGACCAAACGCAACATGTACATTATTGTACCGCGTGTAGCCTGACGGACTGAATTTCAGGATGGCCTGAAAAATGTATTCTATTTTTCCAAAATTTTGGAGTACGCTTAATTCGTAGACAAATTTTAACATTTGTTTTTAATACAGATTTCTATCCTCTACCAATAGTTTCTTATGACTTTTGACGTTAATTAGGGAAGCAGGAATTCAACAATTTTGAATTTCCCATTGAGTTTCCTATGGCCCGTTCGAAGATTTACCTCCCTGTGTATATATAAAACTAACTATATTAATAAAATTAAAGATTTCAACGACATATATATTTATATCTAATACAATCAATTATTCGTCAACTGGTTTGGACACAAAAGAATAAAACCATATCAAAAATAACGTTTTATTAAGTACTATTATTGTAGCATAAAAAAATATTAATGAGATCTACTAAAAACCACACGCACACACTAAATACATTTTTATAAGAATTTGCACTTATTTCATCACTTGAAAAAGTATGTCATAATAACTGATATAGCTGTTTGTATAAATATAAGTTGTTCGCTTCTTTAATTATTAAAGAACATTTTAAAAAATCATTGGGAAAAATACCTCTATATTCCAAAAACAAATTTCTGTAAATCGTTTTATAGACAACGATGATTACGCCACAGAATAATAAACAATCAGAATGACCACTCTGCTTGAAAAAATAAGTACACGCATCTCGTTCGCGCAGACGGAATCAGGCATGTTTTAAACGGAACCAGTGCTGTGCAGTGACATTTTATCTTGTGTGCATAGACAAATTAACCCAGTTTAAATCATGAATGTATTGCTTGTGTGAGTCCATTTCAAATAGGTAAAGAAATAATAAATAAGACTTACTCACAATCAATTTAATTTAACTATCAGACGACCGGTTTCGCTTTCTACAATATGCAAAGCATCCTCAGGTCTCGATACAAAGTTAAACAAATGATGCCGGTACTCTATTAATAGATGGATGGTAGAACATGGTTAAAACTACTTTATATTGTTGAATGGAGAACTTAATTCTATTATTGCAGTTGTTTGACAGTAAACGGGAAGTTCTTGAGGAGATAGATTTGATCCAATGAAGAAGAGATATGTGTGAGATTGTTTGTTAAATGTAATTGATGTAATATACCATTGTATATTATTTAGAAGGGACGATGACGACGAAAGGACATTGTATTGTACTTAGAAGGGACGAAACAAACATTGAATTTAAACCTTCCTTCCCCCTTCTCTTCCCCCTTCCTTCCTACCCCCTTTTCCCTTCCCTTCCCCCTTCCTTCCTACCCCCTTTTCCCTTCCCTTCCCCCTTTTTAAACTGCAATAATAGAATTGAGTTCTCCATTCAACAATATAAAGTAGTTTCAACCATGTTCTACCATCCATCTATTAATAGAGTACCGGCATCATTTGTTTAACTTTGTATCGAGACCTGAGGATGCTTTGCATATTGTAGAAAGCGAAACCGGTCGTCTGATAGTTAAATTAAATTGATTGTGTGTAAGTCTTATTTATTATTTCTTTACCTATTTAACCCAGTTTAATTTATTTACGGCAACTACAGACATAATCTGCACTATTTTATTCGTACTTTTAGTTGAAGAATAGATTAAATTATTTCAAATGTACTAAATTATTAATCTCTAAAAATTTAATATACAGTTCTGTCGCAGCTTGTCACAAATTTCTCAATTCGAGTGTGTTTCCGTCTAAAACGTGGCGTTCGCGTGCTGACAAACTTCAAAGGCGGCATCTGAGAGTGGGCATTCTGATTGTTATTTATTCTGTGATTACGCATTGTCACACCGTTACGTTACATTTTGGTCTTGTTTTCAAATTTAATATTTTCTTCATAATTATTTTCTTTCAATTTTTACTGCCTCTCAGATATTTTTATGTTTTAATATTTTTCTTTAAAAAATAGGTGGCGCTCAACATTTTCCGTGCTAAAATTTATTTTCTCTCTTTAATTATCAATTCCACGTTTCAATTTTCGACTTTCAAGTTTCAATTGACGACTCTTTCAAAATTGGCTTCTCTAGCAAACCAATTAGTTCCACTCCTGCCATAATGGCTTGTTAAAATCCCGGAATCCTTGCTAAAATTTATTTCCCCATGACATTTTTCGCTGAAAATAAAAAAAAATTCTCCTCTTGGATACCACATTCGTGGACACACTGTATATAAAATAAAGGGTGCTTTTTTAGAGGTATACAACTTTAAAATGGAATAAAACAAAGATTTTCGTTTAAATTGACACGAAATTGCTCTTATTCGAAATTTGGCGAAAGTGGTCTAATCTGGAGGACCCATTTCAATGACTTTTTCCAACATTTATGGCCGTATATCAGCGAAAGTTGTCCTCCAAGTGGTCAATCGTTTCAGGATTAACGACGTAGACTAGCGACCTCACATACCCCACAGACAAAAGTCTAGCGTTGTTAAATCGTCCGATCTTGTAGCCCATTTCACGGGTTCGAAACGTGAAACTATGCGGTTACCGAACGTTTTCTTCAATAAATCAATTGTGGCACGAGCTGTGTGACATGTTGCGCCACCTCGTTGAAACCACAGTTCCTACACATCTTGGTTGTTCAATTGAGGAATAAAAGTCAGTAATTATGGCTCTATAGCGATCATCATTGACAGTAACTTTCTGGCCAGAATTGTTTTTGAAGAAGTACGGGCCAATAATTCCTCCAGCCTGTAAAGCACACCAAATATAAGTTTTTCTAGATGTAATAGTTTCTCAACATACAAATGAGGGTTATCTTCACTCCCAATACGGCAATCTGTTTGTTGAATAGCCATTCAACCAAAAGTGAGCTTCGTCGCTAAACGAAATTCGCTTATAAAAATCGGGATCAACGTCAATCTCGTTTTGGGCCCATTCACCTCATCTACGCATTGTTAAATGATCGTGTAGCTTCATTCGTGCACGAGTTGGATTTTGTAAGAATGCACACCAAGGTCTTTCCTCAAAATCTTCCATAAAGTGGATGGACACATATCCAACTATTATGCACGATGATGGATAGACTGATTCGGGTATTCCTCTATACTACGCTCTACAGCAACAACAACTTCTTCTGTACGCACTGTACAACGTCTTTGTGAATGCGTATTATCATTTACGAACCATAATT